AGGCCCATTGACTCCCCGGGGGGTTCCGGTAACCCCCCGGTACTCCAGTAATTGCCCGAACTTATCCAAAACCATTCCGGTGTCCAAACATAGCCTTCCAATATATCAATCTTTATGTCTCGACCATTTCGAGACTCCTGGTCATGTCCGTGATCACATCTGGGACTCCGAACTACCTTCGGTACATCAAAACACATAAACTCATAATGCCGACCGTCACCGAACGTTAAGCGTGCGGACCCTACGGGTTCGAGAACTATGTACACATGACCGAGACTCATCTCCGGTCAATAACCAATAGCGGAACCTGGATGATCATATTGGTTCCTACATATTCTACGGAGATCTTTATCCCTCAAACCACATAACAACATACGTTGTTCCCTTTGTCATCGGTATGTTACTTGCCCGAGATTCGATCGTCAGTATCATCATAGCTAGTTCAGTCTCGTTACCGGCAAGTCTCTTTACTCGTTCCGTAATGCATCATCCCGTGACTAACTCATTGGTCACATTGCTTGCAAGGCTTATAGTGATGTGCATTACCGAGTGGGCCCAGAGATACCTCTCCGACAATCAGAGTGACAAATCCTAATCTCGATCTATGCCAACTCAACAAACACCATCGGAGACACCCGTAGAACATCTTTATAATCACTCAGTTACGTTGTGACGTTTGATAGCACACAAGGTGTTCCTCCGGTATTTGGGAGTTGCATAATCTCATAATCTCATAGTCAAAATGCTAAGCTAACGGATGGGTCTTGTCCATCACATCATTCTCTAATGATGTGATCCCGTTCATCAAATGACAACACATGTCTATGGCTAGGAAACTTAACCATGTTTGATCAATGAGCTAGTCTAGTAGAGGCATACTAGGGACACTCTGTTTTTCTATGTATTCGCACATGTACTAAGTTTCTGATTAATACAATTCTAGCATGAATAATAAACATTTGTCATGATATAAGGAAATATAAATAACAACTTTATTATTGCCTCTAGGGCATATTTCCTTTAGTCTCCCACTTGCACTAGAGTCAATAATCTAGTTTACATCGTCATGTGATTTCACACCAATAGTTCACATCTTTATGTGATTAGTTCACATCCTCATGTGACTAATACCCAAAGGGTTTACTATAATCAATAATCTAGTTCACATCGCTATGTGATTAACACCAAAAGAGTGATCATGTTTTGCTTGTGAAAGAAGCTTAGTCTACGGGTCTGCAACATTATTCAGATCCGTATGTATTTTGAAAATTTCTATGTCTACAATACTCTGCACGGAACTACTCTAGCTAATTGCTCCCACTTTCAATATGTATCAAGATTGAGACTTAGAGTCATCTAGATCGGTGTCAAAAGGTTGCATCGGCGTAACTCTTTACGACGAACTCTTTTATCACCTCCATAACCGAGAAATATTTCCTTAGTCCTCTAAGGATAATTTTGACCGATGTCCAGTGATCTACTCCTAGATCACTATTGTACTCATTTGCCAAAATCATGCTAAGGTATACAATAGGTCTGGTACACAGTATAGTATACTTTATAGAACCTATGACTGAGGCATAGGGAATGACTTTTCATTCTCTTTCTATTTTCTGCTGTGGTCGGGTTTTGAGTCTTTACTCAATTTCACACCTTGCCACACAGGCAAGAACTCCTTCTTTGACTGTTCCATTTTGAACTACTTCAAAATCTTGTCAAGGTATGTACTCATTGAAAAATATATCAAGCATCTTGATCTATCTCTATAGACACTACAAAAAAAGACACATCTGTGACATTTTGGGCTGAACAAAAAAAATTTCTGTCATACATATGACACTTCTATGACGATAATTGTGACAAAACCCGATATCATCATAGATGTGGTGGGCTCGTACTTCTATGACAAAAAATCATGACAGAAAATGGGCTTTTCGTCCTAGGCGGGCCGGAGATGCAACTGCATGACATTCTTTGGGCCGTCCATGACGGAAAAAAACGTGGTAGAAGCGAGGGCGAGGAAAATTTTGGGGAGTTCCCGGTTACGGTGGGAGGTCGGGGGCCGAGCGATGCGCGTTT